ACACGCCTTCGTTTGGAGACCGAGGCGGCTGTCCACTAACGGCTCCTTCAGCGAGACCAGCTCGGTGTTCGCTGGTACCATCAGCGATAAGAACAGTTAGACCTTCAGAGCTGGAATATGACTTCAGGACATGCTTCACATGGCCAGACGCTTCACTTTGCTCTATCTGCTCTTCCTGCGGTTGTACAGTCTGCCCTGAGAATATCCAGAACCGTAGCAACGTTACAGTCACCAAGACCAAGATCACAGTAGACCGGACGTGCAAGCGCCGCCACTTCTTTATCATGGCCTGGAGATGTATAAGTTGGTAATTCATGGCAACAACTATCACAGCGTAATTGTAGTTGCTGACTACCCCTTGCAAGAACGTCCACAGGAGAAATTGATCAGGTCCAGTAACAAGCGTGCTGAATTAGATGGCCAGAAGCAGATACAACCAACGAGGCCGGCAACACGAGCTATACTATGATGTCTGAGCGTCTACATGCATTGCACTTAATGCATGTATGGGTTGCCATGGTGATATGCCTCCTTCGGCTTTATGCGCGAGTCGTTTGAACTATTGCTGCTAAAAGCCAGATGCTGTCGGCATGGCTTAGGGGGAAACATGATGGAAAGTTCACTCCCTTTACTCTACGATCTAGAGGATGAGCACCCACGCCTTGTGGTTTTCATATCACGTTGTTTAAGAGCTATCTCATCATCACTATTCGTACTACTGGTAGAGGTTCCAAAAGCACACCACGTGGAAGGAACGCACCATGCAGTAGTTGGATATGTGATATGTTGTGGCGTGTATATCATTGAGGATTATAAGCTGAACCCGGAAGAGCACAACGGGGAAACTGGGCAGGCTTGAGAGAAGGCCTTTGCACGAGTCCATCGATGCACTGAATGCACTTCAGGAGATACAAACTGGTCGCGGTTATGGGAAATCTATTTAAATGATACCAAGTTACAGGCCCTTAGCATGGTCCTGCCCTCCCCCTCCCCCTCCATTTCTGGTTGTCTGGTGTAAAATCTCCTTAATCATGCAGCACTTGGTTTGTGATTAAGGAAACGTTCATTGCGGTAATTCAACCCGGCTGTGTAATTTTTCAGATCTAATGCGTGTGTGTCGATGTATGTGTATTTATGCAGCGGGCTGCAAGCATAAATGAGTGAACAAAGAAAAATCTTTTCTAACCATCTTCAGCGATGGCTTTTTACCATTGTATCTCTAAACCAATCCTGCTCGGTGATTTTGAGCGCATCGTTCTAGTTGACTCCTGGATGTATGTTGATATTAGATGGATGCGGTGTAACCTTCATTTCATAGATCACAGGAAGCTGGTTAACCATAATGGGGAATTGCTCAGGACTTGCTCAGGCCTTGCTAAGGACTTGCTAAGGATTTGCTAAGGATTTGCGTCCATGCTACGGTCTGGAAAGGTCTCTTGTGCAACGCCTCGGGAATAACAAGCTTGCTTCACCTGGATTGAGAATCATTGATGTTCTTGGGGCTCGTCGGGAACAGGAACAAAAGGTTAAATCATAGAGTAATGATGAGCTAATAATGGACTTCCGTACAGTTCTCTTCTCCAAACAAGAAAGTTCCGGTGGAGAGCTTGAAACTTTGATTGATTGGCATTAAGAGATTGAGTGCGGATACGTGCCTCCCGGTGAGGTCTAGAAAGTAGGCTTGATGAGTTAGAATGCTCATAGGACTATAGAGAAGGAGCCAGCCGTACTGCACGCTGCAACTAGTGGATGAAAAGACACTTAGAAAAGGATGCACGCCTCTTCGAATTCCAATAAATGGTCCAGGAGCTTGAGATGCAGTCGAATTCGTAAGAACAACAAGTCCAATTTCTGGACATGCCGAAATTCCACTAACTCATGAACTACGGATGGTATGAGAAACACCTCCATAACATCTTAACACTGGCGTCTTGTTGTCCAACTAAGCTGAAATGGGCGCAGTTCTGAATCCGTTAAGTAAAATTTACTTAAAAATCCCTTAACATGTTACCAAAGCTGGTCTATATACCATAAAACACAACTATATAGGTATGTGATTACTCATACCAGCTGGAATTATACAAGTTGGCAAACACTCCATTAGGTTTTCTAATGAAACTCTTCAAGAGAAGGATCGATTTCAAAGAGTGATCGAACCTTGCCCCTTTCCATTTATATCTCAACATCTCCCTAATTTCACTGAGAGGTCTTTCGCTGAATGTAAAAGATGAAGTTATATTGAGCATTGCAAGAACGCCTCTCGAAAAAAGTGAATAAGAATCGCAAGAGCGTTTTCTAGAGTGCGCTTCTGGATAAGTGATAGGATCTTGGTTGGAGTTGTACTCGAAGAGAAACCTGTTGAATCCATTGCAAATGGGTTCTGTAGGCAAGCTGATTTTGTCTCCAGGTTGTGACAATACAACAGATTCATGATGGCCTTTAGACTTCGATTATCGAGTTCAGTGTGAGCAGAAACCTGACACCATCCATGTTGATTCTCATCATTTTGAACCTCAACATTGGCTCCATCATTCATGGCATAAGCATCTTTGCTATCATGGATCGGTTATATTTTTGCAAGATACTTCTCAATGCCAACTTCTGCACTTTGAGAGAAAATGTATTGTATTTGAGAATTTGTGCAAGTACCAGAGTCCGGTTGTCAACAATCTCTTTGAGATAACTTTTTGCCTCTTCAAATCCCAATTCAATGGTTTCATTGAGCCATTTATTGGACGTTTCAGCTGGCTTCTGCCAAATCTCAGCTAACTGTACAACAAAGCCTTAAAACTCGACAATACAGTCACATAAAGTAAACCCTTTTTCCTTAAAATGTTTTTCAGTCATTGCAGTGAACATTTACATAATCCCCTTGAATGATGTCATTTGACAGTACTCCTCTGTGGAGGACTTCTGGAACTTTTCAAACAGATCCGTGGAGTTCGTCCACTATCACACTGTTCTTAACAAAACTATCAAGTGAATGAGCAAAGAGTTCCATCTTTTTTGCAACAACGTTGAACCCTCAGAACATCGTGCTCTTCTTTAAAGGCTCGGATAACTTCATTGGATTCATGAGAATGACTTAACATCTAGCAGAGCTTGTTATTCTTCCCTGGAGTAGCTTTCAAATCTGTGCAGAGACATTAATTCAGCTTTTCAGAAAGTGCCAACGCTACCTTAGTTGCTTCTTCGGAAGTCTCAGACCCAACTTCCTTATTTCAATTAACTTCATCCGCTGATTCTTCATATCTGTCTCCCGGGATTAGAACAGTGCTTGTTGGTCCAAGTCCGTTTACGTTATTACCGGAAACATGATTCAGAATATGGCAAAAACATCTGATATCCGATGTCTCAGTATAAAGTACATAGTCATCACCCCCGCAAGTGTTCGCTTCAACGAGGCCATAACACTGGCATTGTCAGTAGTACACGAAACAAAATATTCCCAAGATCATATTGTCCCAGTCTTCTTATGAAGGCCATTGTAGACATCAGCTGCCCATTTACCATGTAGTCCAATCATCGCAGTTAAAGCCGAATGTCGAACTATAGTACCATTGCTACGTTCACAGGTAGTTGTGATGTTCACTACCAAGTAAGAGCACCCTTGGCTGGACATATTTTCTGAAAAACCAGCAGTTTTATCTTATATCAAAGAGTCAAATCATCAGCCATAGTGTTCGTTTGATTTCTATACATCTTGTTATTGAACCCAAGTCGTCACTGGAGTTCTCAAAGATAAAGATTCTCCAAACTCTTGGGTGTCAAACTGCTGGCCAAAAAGAAAGCAACCATCAGGTTCTCAGAGCTGACTCTTTTCTGAGATGAAACCTGTGTGGTTGTTGTTCTGACTTCTGTGACTGTGAGCTATTCCTTGGCTCGGCGATTTGAACTGGCTATACACTGATAACTAAAGATTCAATGGAGAACAGACAGTACTGCTTGGCTGGTTAGAA